GTGCGACAGGGTTACATCCTTTCACAATACTTATTCAATCTGTATGCTGAGAAAATAATCTGAGAAGCTGGACTATATGAAGAAGAATGTGGCATCAGGATTGGAGGAAGACTCATTAACAACCTGCGATATGCAGACAACACAACCTTGATGGCTGAAAGTGAAGAGGACTTGAAGCACTTACTATGAAGATCAAAGACTGCAGCCTTCAGTATGGATTACACTTCAACATAAAGAAAACAAAAATCCTCACAACTGGACCGATAAGCAACATCATGATAAACAGAGAGAAGACTGAAGTTGGTAAGGATTTCATTTTACTTGGATCCACAATCAACACCCACGGAAGTAGCAGTCAAGAAATGAAATGATGCATTGCACTGGGCAAATCTGCTGCAAGAGATCTCTTTCAAGAGTTGAAAAGCAAAGATGTCACCTTGAGGACTAAGGTGAGCCTGACCCAAACCATGGTATTTTCAATAGCCTCATATACATGTGAAAGCTGGACAATGAATAAGGAAGCCCGAGGAAGAATTGATACCTTTGAATTATGGTGTTGGTGAAAAATATTGAATATACCATAGACTGCCAGAACAAACAAATCTGTCTTGGAAGAGATAACCAGAATGCTCCTTAGAGGTGAGGATGGCAAGACTAGTCTCACATTGATTTAAAATCAGAAAAGGTGTGCGTCGGGGTTGTATTGTTTGGACATGTTATTAGGAGGGACTGGTCCCTGGAGAAGGATCATGCTTGATAAAGTAGAAAGTCATAGAAAAAGAAGAAGACCCTCAATGAGATGGATTGACACAGTGGCTACAACAATGGTTTCAAGTATAACAACAATTGTGAGGATGGCACAGGACTGGGCAGTGTTTTGTTCTGTTGTACATGGGGTTGCTATGAATTGGAACAGACTCGACAGCACCTAACAACAACAAGAAGCAATTCCACTCCTAGGTATATACCCAAAATAATTGAAAACAGGGACTAGAACAGATACTTGTATGGCATTGTTCATAGCAGCATTATTTACAATAGCTAAAAGGTGGAAACAATCCAACTGTCCATTAAAAGAAGAATGGATAAACAAAATGATACATACGTACAATTCAGCTATAAAAAGGAATGAAGTTCTAAGATATGTTCAGCTATGGATGAACCTTGAAAACATTATGCTAAGTGAAATAAGCAAGGCATGAAAGGACAAATTTGTGTGATTCTGCTGATAGGAAATATCTAGAATAAGCAAATTCATACACACAGAAAGTATATTAGAAGTTACCAGGGGCTGGAGGTAGGGGAGAATAGGAAGTTACTCTTAATGGGTACAGGTTTTCCATCTGGGATGATGAAGACGTTTTGGAAATAGATAGTGATGATTCCTCACTTTACCAGGGTCTTTTTTCTAGGCTACTCTGTTCCACTGATCTATGTGCACTAGCTCCATATTGTCTAGATTGTTATAGCTTTAATCACCTAACCCACTGAGACACCAGAGACTAAGTATAGAGATTACTCTCTGACTAGAAGAGCTTCATATCTTCTATTTTAGTAGTGGAAAAGAAGGAAGATGAGATCAGGATGAAGGTAAACATGATGTATACATTTTTTTTAACTGTGAAATATTTCAGGCATATAAAACATACAGAAAACAAAACAAATATCCATGTAATACTCAGAGTTAACAAAGATTAAAATTCTGCATTCGTATTTCAAATTCTTAAAAACACACACGCAAATACAATCAAAGCCTCCTTAGTACCCCTCCCCAATCTTAATCCCCTTCTTCCAAGAGATAATCACTACCTGAAATTATGTATAACTTTCTCATTTGATACGGTTATATGTTTACTTCATGTACACTTGTCCAAAACTATATATTGCTTTGTTTTGTGAGGCTTTAAATTTTATGTATCATCATACTCTATGTATCCTTCTGCGATTACTTTTTAAAATTTTTGTTTATTACTCTAAAAATACAGATAACACAACATTTGCCAATTCAGCATCTTTCACGTGTACAATTCGGTGACGCCAATTACATCAGTCCTGTTGTGCAACCATCACCAATATCCATTGCCAAATTTTCCATCACCATAAACAGAAACTCAGTGTCTCCTGAATAATGATCCCCCTTTCCTCCTCCCTCCAGCCCCTGGCAACCACCATTAAACTTTGGTCTCTACACATATGCCTATTACAGAAATTTCATATAAGTGAAATCATACAGTATTTGTCCTTTTGTGATTGACTGACTTCATTCAACATAATGTCTTCATCCATGTCATAGCTTATATCAGAACTTCATTTCTCTTTATGGCGGAGTAATTCTCCACTGTATGTATATACCACATTTTGTTTATCCATTCATCTGTTGATAGACATTTGGGTGGTTTCTACTATAGAGATATTTTATTATTTCATACACCCACACTTTCTCCCCTTCCACCTTGTGATCTACCGCATACATTTCTTTTTTAGGTAAGTTTTATTAGATTCTAATTTATGGTAAAAATGGCAGTGATTTATTCAGATTCCAGATGTCAGATGCATAAGCACAAATACACTGTGAACCTCTCTAACTCTATGAATTCACCTTCCTCCTTTCAGCTAGTCCTCTCCAAGTGTTTTTGTTTGTTTTAATTAAAGAAGGTTTACCCCAGAAGCTTTATGCAGAGAATGACATATCTGGAAAGAAAGCTCTGAAATGAACTAGGCCAACAGCTCATTTTACAGATATGGCAACAGAACCAAAGACATTAGCGACTTACCTTCTATGACCCTCTATGGCTTAATCAGAATATTCTGTTACGGGAAGAAAGTTGATTTTAATCTACTATGAGTGAACCTGAAGAGGTGGGCACTGTTTATAACTACTCCCATTTTTTCATCCTAATGCTTCCTAGGAGCTCTGGTGGTGCAGTGGTTAAGAGCTCAGGCTGCTAACCAAAAGGTTGGCAGTTTGAATCCACCAGCTGCTCCTTGGAAACCCTACGAGGCTGTTCTACTCTGTCCTACAGGGTCGCTATCAGTCAGAATCGACTCAATAGCAATAGGTTTGTTGTTGCTGTTGTTTTGGTTAATACTTCCTCATAAACCATCTTGTGATGCTCATTTTCATTATTATATGTTATACACAAATTCTAGCTCTTTTTCTACATAAAAGATATGAATAAACCGTGTGGTGCGATGGATCGCTTTTGGGTGGCCTTTCAGCAATGGCCTTGCAACTCCCACCCAAGTGACTGGGCGAGACTGTGTAATAGGGTGATTATGGCCCACCAAAGGGATTGGTCAGTTTTGCCACCCTGCTGGGCTTGAAATGAACCACCCCAGAGGCGGGAAAGAGAAGATCCCACGACCACTAAGGAAGAAGAGCCAGGGGCCAGCACGTCCTTTGGACCCGGGATCCCTATGCTGAGAAGCTCCTGGAGACAGAGAGAGGAAGAGCTCTAACACTGAAGGCAGTGAAAAGTGGTGGCAGAGACCTGGCAGCAGAGAACCAGCAGCAGGAGATGGCATGGTGGGCTTCCTGGCCCATGGGGAAGGAAAGCTGAGTGCCTCTGAGCAGAGGCCTAGGGCTAGGGAGAGGCATGCCTGTGAGCACGGCTGGGAAGAGGCTGTCCTGATGGAAGAACTGCATCCTGAGTGTTTCTGAGCCTGAACTGTAGCTGTTACTTCCCTAATAAACCCTATAATCTAGAGTATTGTCTGTGAGTTCTGTGTGGCCATTGCAATGAATTATCGAACCCAGCAAAGAAGTAGAGTGACGTGGGAGAGACGGTTAGTGTCAGAATTGATAAAGATCGCCGAGAGAGAAGGCATGTCTGACCACCGCCTCATAAGAATCAGCCTTGCACTGTTGATCTTGATTTTCCTTCCCCCTTGTGAAGTTAGAGGAGTTAGATGCCGCACCCACGCCGTTTTTACAAAGTGATACAGTGGGAATAAGGGGAGAGTGTCCAAAAAGAAAACTGCTCTACTCTGAAGTGAGAGAGGAGTTCTCTAATATAATGTAAATTCATGAATTTGTGCCTGCACACTCAATAATTTTCTCAAAGTATATAAACACTCAGTTGTTATACAAGAAATTATTTTGGTTAAAAATGTACTTAAATGAAATAACACAAACTTATGGTTACTTAGAATAACACAAATTTTTCTCTCTTCTTTCCAGATTATTTTGGGAATATTGTGATAAAAATGGAAAATAATATAATGTTTTATTCCAAGGTGAATATTGAAGATGTAATACAGCTACATTCATGGACAAATAAGGCCATACAATCATTCTTTGGCTTGGATATATCTGGTCAATTATATTTTGTATACATTTTTGAAAACGGTACGTTACAACCACAGAAATATCCCTTACAATTGGAAGCACAAAGTGTAATCTTTCAAACAAATGAAAACTGCCCCTACATTGCATTTCATACTAGTCTTACACGTATTTTTTACGTTTTGGACAAGAGAGAGGTCCTGTCGTTTTGGGTTCAAGTGACGTATCCAGAAAGTAGTGGTCTATACATTATTTTGGAATCCTATGGTCCAAAAATAATAAAAGAGAAAAGAAAGTTTACCTTTGAAGTCATCTTAGGGTACTGCACTAAAACCATGGTAAGTTACTGTTTTAGAATTTCCTCATTTCACGTTGCACATATAATACTAACATTTTTTTAAAAAATGAATTTCTCTCCTAGGCTTAGCTGGGAAAATGCTGAGGAATATAAGAATTCTTAACAAATAATAATACGATAAGCCTGTAATTCCTGAGCCAAATTTTTCACTTTCAATATCCAAGATCTCTTTGCCACATGAAAACACATTTTTCCAGACTTCTTGATTGTCAATTGTATTGTTCACTTCCTTTTTTGTTGTTGTTTGTTTTTTTAATGCTTGACTTTTTATAGAGTTGTATCTGAGATCCCTGCTGGTGCAATGGTTAAAGCACTCAGCTGCTAATGGAAATATTTTGAAGGGCTGGGTTGCAAATGGTCAAATACACAATATACATCCCATTCTTGGAAAGAAAACCATGAACGTCTATGCAGATATAAATATATAAATGTCTGAGGAAAACAAAATAATAAAAGTTTGCATTTTTAATAAAATACTGGCTCTATCATTTACTAGCTGATAATATTGTCCAAGTTTTTAAATCTTTTTGTGCCTCAGTTACCTCATCTGTAAAGTGGGGATGATAATAATAATAATAATACCTACCTCATAAGGTTATTATGAGGATTAAATGAGTTGACATATGTAAAGGACTTAGGATGAGTACCTGGCACGTAATAAGCACTATACGAATGCATTTCTTCCCTGTGTGGCACAAATGGTTTGCACTCAACTATTAACCTAAAGGTTAGTAGTTCAAAGCCAACCAGTGGCACCATGGAAGAAAGGCCTGGCAATCTGCTTCCATAAAGATTAAAACCCAAAAAACCAAACACGTTGCATCGAGTCGATCAACTCATAGCAACCCTATAGGACAGAGTAAAACTGCCCCATAGGGTTTCCAAGGAGTGGCTGGTGGATTTGAACTGCTGACCTTTTGGTTAGCAACCAAACTCCTAACCACTGTGCCACCAGGGCTCACCATAAAGATTACAGCCAAGTGTGGAGCAGCCCTATTTTGTAACACATGGGGTCACCATGAATCGGAATCTCCTCCATGGTGATGGGTTTGGTTTTGGGGGGTTTATATGCATTACTACTACAGCTACTACCACTGCTACTACCACCACCATCACACCATATGTCATCACGTCTACAGCATAGTTTTAAAAATATTTAACATCTCTAAAATCAGGATGAGCCTTATATTCCACGGCATCTTAGATTTGATGAAGAACAGTATTATTATTATTAGCGTTATTATTTTAGCATCTTGAATATATCATGCAGATTGGATCACTATAATGTTGCAGACTAAGTGTCAGCTAATATGGTGTTAAGCATCATAGCTAATCATTTATTTTTTAAAAAATGAATATAATATACACACCTTACATGTACTCGCCTGTCAGTTTGTCACACTGTGGTTGCTAGCGTGTTGCTGTAATGCTGGAAGATATGCCACCAGTATTCCAAATACTGTTAGGGTGGACAGGTTTCAGCTGAGCTTCCAGACTAAGACAGACTAGGAAGAAGGGCCTGGAGGTATATTTCTTAAAAAATTAGCCAGTGAAAACCTTATGAAAAGCAGTGGAACATTGTCTGGTATAGTGCCAGAAGATGAGCCCCTCAGGTTGGAAGGCACTGGGGAAGAGCTGCCTCCTGAAAGTAGAGTCAACCTTAATAACGTGGATGGAATCTAGCTTTCAGGATCTTCATTTGCTGATGTGGCATGACTCAAAATGAGAAGAAACAGCTGTGAACCTCCATCAATAATTGGAATGTGGACTGTACAAAGTAAGAATCTAGGAAAATTGGAAGTC